GAGGTGACCCTTGGTGAATGCTCTCATTTGCAAGGATGCTATATGCGGCCTGCGAATGTGGCGTGGATCGCCCCGCCCCGCCAGGCGCGCCGCGCCGCCAATCGTGTCTTTCACAGGCAAGGTGTTTTTATTAATTGCGCCTCCGTTACTTCAGGGCAGGTGCGGGGGTCACACCCCTCTGAGCACTACTTTTTTCACCACGCTGGCCGTCTTGCGCCTAGCCCACATTCGCCGCTGCCGCTGTCAGGTGGGGTGTAACAACCCCTTGTGGTTCGGCCCAACTAAGAGAGGATGGGTGTGGCATCACACTGGGGTTGGCCCGGCTCCTGTCAGTGTTCTCACGCAGTTAACAGACAACTCGACGACAGGGCCATCAGTGAAATCAATCCGCCCTGTATTGCGCAACCTGGCGCCACGCAAAGCAGGTACAGCACTGGCTCCTCTGCCTGAGCATGCACAGCATGCAGGATACGAGGCAGACACCGGCAGGCGGCAGGGATGTGGGTACATTGCAACAGGACGAGAGTGTTGTCACATTGACCAGTGCAGGTGTTGTGTCCGACGACATGCCTCGTATTGAAGCCGAAGCGTGATCCGTGCATTTCGCGCCAACGATCTGATACCTTCATGGCATCTTGCATGACAAAGGTCACATGATACATGCCCAGTTTGCCTGCTTTCCGTTCGGGGGCCTGAAGCATGGTCATGCTGCGCTTGACACGCAGCAGGCCCGTCTGCGTGCATGCTTGCTGCCGGAGGGAGGAGGGACAGCAGTGGCGACGCAGCCTGGCGGTGACATCACAAAGGGGCGGCAGCGGAGTAAGGAGGACCTCTTTGCAGACACAGGCTGCAGCAGGGACAAGCCAGATTCAGCGGCGCTCGTGTTCGACCGTGGCACTCTGCCGCTGCATGCGGCCGTGCAAATCGCCGCTGCGCTCGACCCGAGCCTCCGCCGCGCGCCGCACGCCGGCAAGGCCACAGCCCCGTTCCCTGTCAACGCCAAATCTCGGCTAATCAGCAAGCGAGCTGCGCGGCGCCTCGCCCTCCGAATCGACCCTGTCGCCGCCGCGGGGGCGTCGGCGCCGCAACTGCCCTGCGGTCCCCCATCCGGCGGCCTCAACAGCAGCCGGCTGCTGCGCGCGGCCGCACGGCACGCGGCTGCATTCCCCGCCGCACCTCACGGGATTGTTCTCGCCGCAGAGGACGCGGCCGGCGGCAGCGGTTGCGCCTCCACGGCCCTGTCCGTCGCCTTGTTGCTGGGGGCTCTACCTGAGCTGGAGGTGCCCTTCAAGATGAAACCCCGGCCGGCGCCTACCGATGAGGTGTGCATGCGGATTGCAAAGCTGCCGCATGGAGCTATTGTCGTCCCCATGACACCCCATAAGCCCCAGCGCCGCGCGCATGGGCTCGTGGAGCCCGCACCGCCGCCCGTCGCGCCCGAACTCCGCCAACCTGCGCGTGCGTGCGCCTCTGGCACCTCTGCCCCCGCGCCACTGACTGTAGGAAGGCGGCTGCGCCTTTGCTATGCTGCTGGCAGATCCTGCCATCACTCGCCCACTGCGGGTGCCCCTGGGCTTTGATTCCGAGGCGCGCGCCTTGGCGGCGGCGGCAGCCACCCTGCTGGTAAGGCGCCCAGTGGACATCCTGCCCCTCCGCCTGCTGTGGGCCGCGGCCATCTTGTATGCATGCGCATGCAGGCTCCTTGGTCATGACCTGCCATGCAGAGACCCACCTGCAGATCAAGCTACTGGAAATCCGCCCCCCGCGTCCCGCAACCTGCGCCCGCCGCGAAGGCCCCGCCGGCCCCGCCAGAGGCGCCTCCGCCGCCGGCCCCGCCCTGCCTTCGTGCGCTCGCGCCCGCCGCCGCGCTGCGCCCCCGCGCCGGCGCTGCAGCCCTGGCGGCCCGAGGCGATCCCATCCTCCGAGTCGCGGCGGGCGCCGACGGCCCGTCACCCCCCCTGGCTTGGGGGGACCTAGAGGTGCCAGCGCTGGCGCGGCTGTGGGACAATCCCGACCTCAAGGCGGCGCAGGCCGCCGCACCCTGGCTGGTTGGGGCATGCGAGGTGCTGCGGCACGCGCGCGCAGAGCAGGTCAGCGGCGGCGGCGAGAGCCGCGCGGCGGCGGAGGTGCTTGGGAGACACGCGCGTGCAGCATCACCAGGCGTTGCCGCCCAGCAGAGCCTGTGGGGTGCGCTGGTCGCAAGAGAAGCCCGGTTTGTGGAGACGCTTTTGGGTCATGAGCAGGGCGCTGCAGCCGCGTCGAGGGACGGCAGCGCAGGGCCCAGCCGGACCCGTGGCAGCGGTTTCGCCGGACCAGCGCTCTCTGCCTTAATACTCCGCGGTCTGGACCGAGAGCCACGCCACGCGCTGGTGTTGAAGGCCGCGCCAGCCCAGGAGGCGGCGGCTGCGGCTGCGGCGACGGTGGAGGTGGCGCGGCCGCGGGCATGTGGCGAGCTGGTCGCGGGGGGCTCGGCATGGCAGCCTCGGCACCGACAGGCTTCGGAGGCGGCTTGCCTTGGGGCCCCACGTGGGACGGAAGAACGCGATGCAGGGCCAACGCCGGCGCACGTGGGGGCGGCACACGCCGCGACTGCGAAGCGTGGAGCGCAGCAGCCCGCCCAGCGGAGCCTGTCGGGGTCGCCGTACCCTCCCAGCCCGCCGGAACAGCAGGAGCAGCAGCAGCAGCAGCAGCAGCAGCAGCAGCAGCAGCAGCAGCAGCAGCAGCAGCAGCAGCAGCAGCAGGGGCGACTGAGCAAAGGATCGTCCCCGTTGGCAGACAAGCGGAGCAGCGGCGTGGCGCAGGCAACGGCGAGCGGCCTCCACGATGCGATGATGGAGGTGCCTGTGCCGCTGCTCAGTTACAACGGCCCCAGCCTAGGGCAGCAGCTTATGCTAGACCTGCTCGCGTCAGCGCCGCCCCAGCCGCCGCTGCCACCACAGGCGCCCCAGCTGCATGCACATCGGGGCGCACCACTTCCCCTGGGCTGCGCCCAAGAGTGGGGGCTTCTGGAGGCAAGCTGCCACGGCGCCTGCGCCCCGACGTCCCTGGATGACTTGCTTTTGGCCGAAGCCGGCCCTGCGCCGGCGGCCGCCGCTGGCGGGAAGGGTGCGTGCCGGGGGCTGCGGGACCTTCCCATTGAGAGCCTT